AGCAGTCCATTTTCTTACATTTTTTTAAATATATATTTTTAGATGTTGATGGACTTTTGTTTTATTCATTTATTTATGTGTGGTGCTGAGAATTGAACCCAGGGTCTCACATATGCCAGGCAAGTGCACTACCACTGAGCCACAACTCCAGCCCTCTTATGTTTTAATTTGAAAGGCTGGCCTCAAATTTGCAGTCTCCTGCCTCAGTGGCCTGAGTAGCAGATTAGAGGCCTGTACCACCACTCCTGGCTAATTTTACACTTAGCCCTAAAACAAAGCCTTCTGAGATCTACCGGGGTTCAGGTTGGGGCCAACCCGATCTTCTGCAGAACACTGGCACTGTCTGATCCTGGGCCAGGGCCTCATGATGCTGCCCACAGGGCCCACAGGCTGACCCCTGTGGAGGGACAGCAGCATTGTCCAATGGAAACACAATGGGGGCCACTTAGGGACTTTTCCACGTACTCTAGCCACCTTGGTAAACAAATGAAAAAGGAAATGATGGCTTTGATTACGTTTAGTAATAGAATGCCCTTACTTATGGTGGGGCACCGAAAATATCAGAACTGAAAATGCACTGAATCCACTCAATCTACCAAACATCAGCAGCTAGCTACACAGAGCACCTGGAGTCCAGGTTGTTTCTAAGTCTTGGCCACAGGACTGACAGGGAGCTGTGCCCGCCCAGCCCCGCAAGAGAGGGTCTTACGCTTGGGAAAAGATCCAAATTCAAAACTCACTTTTGAAGAAAGTGATGGTTTCTCCTATCACTTTCACACCACCGTAAAGTTAAATGTGTGTGTGTGTGTGTGTGTGTGTGTGAGTGAGAGAGAGAGAGAGAGAGAGAGAGAGAGAGAGAGAAACCATTGTAAGACGAGAATCATCTGAACATTTTCTTTAACTCCGTTATATAGAGATATCAGTTCAGCATCTTGTGTGCTCTGATTTTCCAAAGTCTTTGGAATCTGGTGTTTTATGCCCACAGCACATCTCACTTTTGACTGGAGACTTTGCAAGTGCTCACAGACATGAGTTGCTTTACTTTTTTTAAAATTAATTTATTTATTCTAATTTGTGAAATATGATGGCATAATGCAATTCATTTCATATTACACATATAGAGCACAATTTTTCAAGTCACTGGTTGTACACAAAGTATTTTCACACCATTCGTCTCTTCATACATGTACTTAGAGTAATGATGTCTAACTCATTCCACCTTCTTTCTTACTCCCTTGCTCCCTCCCTTGCCCTCCCTCCCCTTTGCCCTATCTAAAGTTCCTCTATTCCTCCCATGCTCCCCCCCATCGCTATTATGAGTCAGCATCCTCATATCAAAGAAAACATTCAGCCTTTGGTTTTTTGGGATTGGCTAACTTCACTTAGCATGATATTCTCTAACTCTATCCATTTGCCTGCAAATGCCATGATTTTATTCTCTTTTAATGGTGAGTAATGTTCCATTGTGTATATATATCAAAGTTTCCCTATCCATTCATCTACTGAGGGCATCTGGGCTGGTTCCACAGTTCAGCTATTGTGAATTGAGCTGCTATAAACATTGATGTGGCTGGGTCCCTGTAGTATGCTGTTTTTAAGTCCTTTGGGTATAAACCAAGGAGTGAGATATCTGGGTCAAATGGTGGTTCCATTCCAAGTTTTCCAAAGATTCTCCATATTGCTTTCCAGATTGGCTGCACCACAACCACAGGCTTCTGACAGTAAGTGATCTGACAGTGACCATCAGGTTGAACAGCAAAGAACTAGACACCTGGATTTGAGTGAGCCTCTGGGGTTGGTATACCAAGGCACTCCAAGCGCTGGATGCAACCACTGCTCATGTGGGATTCATCTGGCCCCCCACCCAAGGGAAAGCAACTCGTGAGCAGGTTTTAAGACCACACCACGAACAAGTCCACATTTTCAAGTTCTAGATAATGCCTGGGCAAGTTCTTATTGATTTTAAGATGTCAGGAGCCCCTCCAGGGAATCTTGGGTTGAACTACCAATAGGTTCTAAGATTTGTACCCAGGCAAGTCGACTCTTGATTGCTTCTAGAAGAAGCAGACTCACCCCAAGTCTTTCCATTTTGGCAAAGGGACCCTACATCAATCACCCAGGCAGTCCTACCAGACCCTTCCCCGTCCCTTGCCTGTGACCTAAGCCAGAACATATTCTAGAGCTGGCCACTTCCCTCCATGCCACCACCTCAGCACCCCCCACCCCCGCCCGTGGAGGCCTGCAGTGCTGCCATCTCTTAACGTGGATCACCAAAGAGAGACATCCAGTTGCCCTGCCCCTCTCAGCCTGGCCTCCCATAGTCTGTCCTCCATCCACACCCAGTGTCCTTTAGAAATAGCCACCAGGCCAGATGTATGTGGCAGTGCACGCCTATTGACAGTAAGTAATCCCAGCAATTCAGGAGGCTGAGGCAGGAGGATTACAAATTCAAGGTCAGCCTCAGCATCTTAGTGAGGCTCTAAGCAATTTTATGAGATGAGACCCTTTCTCAAAATTAAAAAGAGCCTGGGGATGTGGCGCAGTGGTTAAGTGCTCCTGGCACACCGCCCGCCCCCCCCAAAAAAGACAAGAAATTGGAATCAACACAACTCTTACCACCTCAATGAGGACATACTGCCTGGACATTTTGCTGAAATCATTGTCATCCATGTCCTTGAATTCTGCATCCTCAGACACAACTAACCTCTGGTAGAAAATATTCAGAAAAAATTGTGTCTAGAGTACAGACTTTTTCTTTTTTTCTTTTTTGTCATTACTTCCTAATAATATATTGTAACAAGTGTGCACATAGCATTTATGTTGCATTATGTAATATACATCATCTAGAGATGATCTAAAGCAGGGCTAGGGATAGAGCTCAGTTGGGAGAGTCTTGCCTTGCATGCACAAGGCCCTGAGCTTGATCCCCAGCACCACAAAAAAAA